TGCATTCCATAAAGTTTTCAATAGCATGTTTGAATAAATCTTTTAATGAATAGTTTCTTTGTTACCTTGATTTTCTGTCGGATGCACGCTCACAGGTTTTGGTTGATAGCCATGGTGAGAAAGATGGTGCAAACGATGGAGCAGTGGTTGATTTCTGGGGAAATCCGGTGGACAAGTCGAAAACCGGTGGATGGTTTGGTGCAGGGCTCATCTTAGGTGCGTTAAGGATGCGAATTTTGAAGTTTAAAAAGTGTGGTTACTTTGATACCATATTATTCTTTTGCTCATTTTGGTGCAGGATCTGAGCTCTCTGAGAGGATATGCGTAATGGGCTTATCAATGAACTTGGTCACATACCTAGTAGGAGATTTGCATATCTCAGCAGCAAAATCAGCAACTATTGTTACCAACTTCATGGGAACTCTCAATCTTCTCGGTCTCCTCGGAGGGTTCCTAGCCGATGCGAAACTTGGCCGGTACTTGACCGTCGCACTCTCGGCTTCCATAACTGCTCTGGTGAGTTTCTCTTACAGATAAACAAGAAATAACAAAGTTGGTATCTTGACATATGGTTCTTTTTCAGGGAGTGATTTTATTAACACTGGCTACAACAATTCCCAGCATGAGGCCTCCTTACTGTGATGACTACAGAAGGCAGCATCATGAGTGCATCGAGGCAAGCGGCCGGCAACTTGTTTTGCTGTATGTTGCACTATACACGACAGCACTCGGCGGTGGGGGAATAAAGTCTAATGTCTCCGGTTTCGGCTCCGATCAGTTTGATTTTAAAGATCCCAAGGAGGAGAAGGCCATGATTTTTTTCTTCAACAGGTTCTATTTCGGAATCAGCATCGGGTCTCTGTTTGCCGTGATTGTGCTGGTGTATGTACAAGACAATGTAGGAAGAGGGTGGGGATATGGAATCTCGGGCGGAACGATGGTGATTGCTGTGGCGGTTTTGCTTTGTGGAACACCGTGGTACAGGTTCAAAAAGCCTCAGGGAAGCCCTTTAACTGTCATATGGAGGGTTCTGTTATTGGCCTTGAAGAAGAGAAATCAGCCTTATCCTTCCCATCCGAGCCTTTTGAATGATTACGAAAACCGAAAGGTTCCGTACACGCGAAGGTTCAAGTAAGTCTTGTTGGACATAGTTTTCGTGGCAAATTCTGTGCTCTTTCTTGCTTGTGAAGTAACCAGATTTCATTTCAATGTACTGGTGATGAACGACTAGGTGTCTCGACAAGGCTGCAATCCTAGACGACAATTGTGCCCCCAACATGCAGAAAAACAACTCATGGATTGTCTCAACCGTGACACAAGTTGAGGAGGTAAAAATGGTCATAAAACTACTCCCAATTTGGTCCACATGTATACTCTTCTGGACAATCTACTCCCAGATGACTACCTTCACAGTCGAGCAAGCCACCATCATGCACCGAACAGTGGGTTCTTTCGTGATCCCGGCCGGTTCTTTCTCTGCTTTTCTCATCATCAGCATCCTCCTTTTCACTTCCCTAAATGAAAAACTTTTCGTTCCCTTGGCTCGAAAGATCACTCACAATCCCCAAGGAATCACAAGCCTCCAGAGGATTGGAACTGGACTAGTTTTGTCAACAGCTGCCATGGTGGGGGCTGCAATTGTTGAGAAACAAAGAAGGGAAGTTGCTGTTAACAAAGGAGTCAAAATAAGTGCCTTTTGGCTACTTGTTCAGTTCTTCCTCGTCGGTGCTGGAGAAGCATTTGCTTATGTCGGACAGCTCGAGTTCTTCATTCGAGAGGCGCCAGATCGGATGAAATCCATGAGCACAGGGCTTTTCCTGAGCACCATTTCGATGGGGTTCTTCGTGAGCAGTTTGCTGGTGTCGATCGTCGACCATATAACCAAAAGGACCTGGCTTAGGAACAATCTGAACAAAGGAAAGCTAAACAACTTCTATTGGTTACTTGCATTGTTGGGGTTGTTAAATTTCTTGTTTTTTGTAATATTTTCATCAAGACACCAGTACAAAATGCAGCTACCTGTTGTGCCCGAATTCGATGAGAAGGAACTTAAGAGCTTGAACGATGAAATGATAGAAGATACGGAGAAGAGAGCAAGTATTCAGGCAGTGGGAGATGTAGAGCCATAGTGAACGTGTCTCTTAAAGAGGGATTGTATGAATGGGTAGACAATATATAGTTATTGTTGTTATTTGAGTTTGTTAAAAGGAAGAGACCCGTATGTTTGTCCTGTGTAATTGTAAGGTGATTATTCAATTATTCTTTCTCCTGGCTGTGCTACATTCTATGGAGATGTTCCTTATCTTGCTTGAATGCTTGATAAAGATGAGCTTGTTTATCAAACCAGTTTAGTCCATCTCTATATATTACGTCTGATTTCATTTCTTCTCCTACAAATCTATACAGAAGCAGGTTATGAATGTAAAAGGATAGACTTCAGATCCAATTATGAGATAGAATCAATCTTTATAACAAATTAAATAAATTAAAAAAGAATAATTTAAAATTTATCCTTAAATTATGTCATTGTACAAAAGATTCATAATTAATTTTATCTAAAATATATGAATTAAATAAAAATTAAAATCTTTTAATAATATGATACGTAATCAAACTAACAATATTTAATATTTTAATGATTAAAATTTAATAAAATAATAATATACAATATTTAATATTTTAATAACTAAAACTTAGTAAAATAATAATATACATAATTAAAATTTATTTTTTTCGAATTTTTTGACTAAAAATATTTCATTATAAAATATAAGTGTCCATTTAGATAATTTACATAATTTTTTATTGGAAAAACGTTAACGTATTCATTACCCAGATTTTATTTTCCTTTCGTAGGTTATGTGAATCGGACTTGTTGCGGCGTAGTTATTCTTTGCCTTAGCAGTTGTCATCTTAAAATAAAGAATTAACTAAACTTACTATCATTTATGTTTATATTTAATTTAGTTTTGATCATTGATTTTAAAAAATAGAAGATATGATTAATTTTATTTTTACTTCATCAAAGTATGATCACTTTAGTTTTTATTTAATAAAGATATTATCACTTTTATTTTTAGTTAATTAAGATATGATCATCACGAGTTAACTACTGCTAACAATTAACATAATATATGCCGTGATAGTTGGTATAATCACACATTTAGTCTATATTATTTACTTATTCTCTCAATCTAGTCATACTTTTAAATAGATTTTAACATAAAATATATACTTTTAAATGAAATAAAAATACAAATAAAATATATTTAAATTAAGTTAATAATAAAATATATTTAATAAGTTAATATAAAATTTTAAGTTAATATATATAATAGGCTTAAATATACAAAAAAATGTCCAACCTATGTTTGTTTTTCAGTTTAGTGATTAAGGTTTATTTCGTTTCAATTTGATGCCTAACATTTCATTTTGTGACTCAAAATAAGTCTACTCGTAACAAACCGTTAAGTTTGATTGTTAATAATGTCACATGTCATATTTTTTAATACTAAAAAAATAATTTATGAAAATAATAAATTAATTCCACTCTCTTCCCTTTCACTCTCTTCCTCTCTTTTCCATCGAACAAATTTTTTCACAGAGTGAAAAGGAACACATCAGATTCCCCTTTTTCACCATCTACATTCCTCATAAAGTAAGCTTCCCCTTTATAATCTGAAACATGTGGAAATTCGCTTCGACACCATTAAACAAAGATGTTAATCACATTTTCCCTTGTCTTTAGAACCCCTTGAAATTTACCAAATCGATCATACGAAGGCGACGAGTTGAAGCTTCCATCTAGTTGTTCCACTACAATCATGTCTATTGCACTGCCAAATGGATGAAAAGGGCCAGGCATCGTATAAACACCAAGAGAAATATAGCTACCTACTCGTCCCCACCGTGTACAACCTCATCCCTTTGAGTTTCCAATACTATCTACATATCAAACACTTAAAATTTCAGCCATAATTCAGATTCTCAATGGACTACCTTTTGAAAAGTACGATCAACGAGAAATCTCACTTAAAAAGTCTAAAGCTTTGAATTCTGCAACTACTCAGATTGTAAAACATCAAAATCAATACATAATTCAAAGACCCCAATCAATATGTCATATGACATTTTTAATAGGTTTTTTGTTCTTTTCCCTCCTCGTTTGGTCATTTGACTGGATCAAAGTAAATGAAAGGGAAAACAGTGTTTCGAGGGAAAGAAAGAGAGAGAAAACTCATATCCAAAGCCAAACGAGAATGAGAGAAAAAGAGAAGGGGAATGAATTTGATTTGGTGGAAAAGAGGGGAATAGAGTAAGGGGAAAGAGAGGGAAATTAATTTTTTATTTTCGTAAATCATTTTTAGTATTACAAAATATGTCACATGGTATTTTTAATAGGTTAACGCCTAAATTTAACGGTTCATCACGGTTAGATTCATTTTAAATCACTGAATGAAATATTAGACACCAAATTATAACGAAATAAACGTTATGCACAAAATTGAAAAAATGGGTATAGGTTGGTCACCTTTTGTATATTTAAGTCTATAAAATATTATAAATTTATATATTTATAGATACAAAATACATACACTATGTTGTCTACTTTAGATTAAGCAATGATTTTGGTTAGATACATGTTTAGTTATTTAAGTGACCAAAGTTTGAATTTTTTTGACTCTAATTGCTTTCTTTTATTTTCTTTCAATCAGATGGTGACACATTATTTTTTTAATTGATGAAAATAAATATATTAAATTAAAATAAAATTAATCTTTCAATCGAATGATGTAACATCATTCGATTTGAATATTAAATTTATTTTAATTTATTAAAAATAAAACTAAATTAAAAGAATACATGAAAAACAGTAATCAAATATTTGATTATGTCAAAATATTTAATTACTATTAATAGTAATTAATTTAGATGAACAAAAGTAACTATACGACTATATCTTATATTTTTTAAAATTAAGGATTAAAGGTGGACAAAACAGATATACGCTGTGATAAAAAAAAATGAATGAGGTGATGACGGCGGCGGATGCGAGCACCATGAGAGGCGCTGGATCGGCCTTGGTTGCATCGTCTCCGTCCTCCAATCTGCCTCCTAACAACCTTCCTCTCATCTCGGCCTTCCTCGCCTTAGCTCTGGCTCAACTCCTCAAAATGGCTGTAAGATAATAGGCTGCTTCCAACCAGGTTGAGAGCAACTTCTGTATAAGTTGATTTTTGTTCTTTTGCTTCCAAATTTCAAATTGTGTTATCTCAATCCTTGTTTGACGCGAAAGTTAGGAGGTTGTATCTTGGAATGTTATGGAATTTGGTTTGGGCTTTGGCAGGTGCTATAACTCTCAATTGCTCATAGAGGAACCCTAACTATTTTACTATAGGAATTTTAAACATAATATATTGGTTAATTCAATGGCCCCTGATTGATAAGAACTTGTTTAGCCCCTGTTGGAGAAACCCTTGTTTTGAATTTTTTGTGATTTCTTTAATTTAATGACCCGTGGAGAAGTTTTGATAATTGATCATTGGCGTTGACTGGTAATATTCATGAATTTGCTGATCTGATTGCCATTGGTAATATTTACGAACATGAATTTGATAGAAATAGCCTGGCCCGAAGTGAAATGCCCCCATTTTTCTTACAAATTTGTGAGGAACTGAAAAAAATATGCTTATTGACGTTAAAGTAAGACTTAATTTTTTTTTTCATTTTCCTTGGTATCACCTTCATTCTTAAGACTTGTTGAAAAGAAATTAAGATTCCAGGTTCTAAAAAAAATTTAATGGAATCATTAAAAGCTAATTTTTTAGTTTCAGTTGATTCTATTCACAGTTTTAATGGTTTGTAAACAGTAGCTCAAACATTTGAACTTGTTTCTCCTAGATACTCAGGTTTAAAGAAAGGAGATGGGATTCTAAGAGGATGATTGGTTCAGGTGGCATGCCATCATCACACTCTGCAACTGTGACAGCTCTTGCAGTTGCTACAGGTTTACAGGATGGGACGGGAGGATCAGCTTTTGCAATTACGGTTGTCTTGGCATGTGTTGTATGTGCTTCCTAACTCTTCATTTCCTTGCGGTGACATTCTCGTATGAAATTTATCGGAATAAAGCCCCTTCTAAATCTGATAGTTAATGAATATAAATAGAGAAAATGGCCCTCTCTCCAGGACCTCCTCACTCCTGCTGGCATGGGAATGCTGCAGACAATTCCTGCTGCTGCTGGCAGTCCCTCCTTTGAATTTTCTTTTCTCATGCATTCCTTTTTCCTCTTGTCTATGACATGGTCATAGACCTGATCGCTACTGCCAGCATCCCCTTCAACAACGTTTTCTCTATGATTATTTATTAATCTTTGGGAGAATGTTTGCTACACTCCTCTTTCCTTCCCGGAACCAACATTCATCTAGCAGTTATGCATTCTGATTAATGACAATATGTATCCTCAGTCTTCTTGACATCAGTATTTATTTGGAAAGTAATTATTTGACAGAATATTGCTCTGACTAATTTTTTTAATGTAATTGGACAAGACTAAAGTTCAGTGGTTAACGGAAGGAAATTGGAGTTTCGATATTAAATAGAGGTTATAACTTCAGTGGTCAAATGAGACTTCATCCCAATTGCTATAGTTTTCCTTTTGCTGCTTATAATACCAGGAATTCTTTTTAATTTTATAAAGTATACTTTCTATAAAAATTGCTTAAAGCTATATCTTGGAGTACGAATCAAGAGAAATTTGTATATGTGATAAATTACACTATATGTTTGTTACATGAGATTATTCCTACTTTAAAGTGTTTGCTTCTTGATTAGATTACAATATTCTCTAATAAGACTCTAGATAGGTTTTATTTTAGGTTCCACCTGGAGACCCACTTTTTAACAATAGAGAATAATCAACCTTTGGGATTAGTGGTAAGATATTTGTGCTGTGTGGCATGAAAGGTAGGGTTTGGTCAAGATCAATCATTATTCCCATCCCCCAATTATTTAAAGAAAAGAAGATTTTTGAATTCATGAAGACAGCTTGATATTTAGCTTTATGCCAGGTAGGGTTAGAAAAGTACGTTAATTTTCGTATGCCCTTGTGTTTGGAAGACCAATGTGCTATGTTTCAGGCTCTCCTGAAATATGGATGAACCTAATCAGGATTGTTATCAAAATCATTGTGCCGTATTCAAATTGATTCTTATCTCTCTTTATTTTCTTTGAGTCCCCAAAATTTTGGTTTTAACTTGAAAATAGTTCTCATTGGAAAAGAATTAACATGCTTGTTAGCGTGTGAAGTATGGTTGATATTTTTTTAATTATACAGGTGATGTATGATGCAACAGGTGTCCGACTTCATGCTGGTCGTCAAGCTGAAGCAAGTCCTCTTCTACTTGATATATAGATGCAAAGTTTATTTGTCTTTTTCACTTATATTCTAATGCCTAGATACACTGTCCTTATTTTTGTTCTTTCCTTATTGCCAGTTGCTGAATCAAATTGTATGTGAGTTTCCTCCTGAACACCCTTTGGCCAGCGTGCGACCTCTGCGTGAATTACTTGGCCATACTCCACTCCAGGTCAGCTACTATGTAAACTGCACAAGTATTTAAGATAACTAATGCTTTGTTCCAAGTGTTTTTTACTACACAAGCATTTGTTTCCAAATCCCAGCTTATCAATGTAGTTGACAATTCTTTTATAAATACCAATCAGTTTGTAAGTCTGACATCACATTGGTATTCCACCCTTAACTGTTCATCGAACTTATAGCAAAATAAGTATTCAATTCAAAAATCAATAGATTGGTGGAAACAATGTCTTGAAGGCTTCAAATGTTTACTGTTGAAATCCCCAAAGCAGAAAGAGACTTTTACTCTGCCAAATCATGCGATCTTTCCAGATTGCTGCAACCCTGCTTTCCATATAACACAATCATTTTGTCCCCTATTTTCTCTTTTACTCCGTAAGTTCACAAAGTAGTAGAATGCTGCTTATTATTCATTAGTCTTCCCAAAACACTTATATGTAAGCCCAGAGGAGCACTTATAGTTTGGGAGATTAGTGTAACGTTCAGGTTTTTTCCGTACAAGGAGACAAATAGATCAATATCAGCTTTCATTCGCAATATTAAGATGGAATTCAGTATGATAACGTCTAGGGAGATGCAAGTGTTGTAAAATCTGATAAATGTGATGAAATGGTGCAGGTTGTGGCAGGTGCATTGTTGGGATTCATAGTGGCTTTTCTGATACGAAATTCTGGTTAGTTAAAACAGCCTTGATTCATTTGCCTTTCCGGTATCAAAAACTTTTCTATTGATGAAACCCTTATAATTTGAAGGAGGCTTTCAGATGATCAAAAATAGGAAGTGATTTGTGTTTATTTGAACTTCATCTTACATTGTAATCACACTCTAATAGCTTTGTCAACTCCTGTACTTGAATGATGGGAATGTATTGCCAGTTATTGTCCTTAGAATGAATATAAAATATTTAGTCATAAATTAATAACATCTTTCCTTCAGAAGCTACGCTATTTTGATTGTAAGTAAAAATTTTGATACAACAAATCTTAAAATTATCTACAGTTCGAGAAAGAATCTTCAATTTTTATCGTCTAACGTTTTTACTAATTCATTAAAAATCTACGAGTTTATTTATAGGAAAAATCATCTAAAGCTTGCAACTTTATGAAATAACTTAGTAAATATCATATATCAAAGCTTAAAATTATAATTACACTTAGTATTATAAAAGTTGAGTATATGAAGAATAAACTTTTTATATGATATCAATCACATATTTACTACAATTTTGTTAGTTACCTTTGTATTATTGATCATCCGCTACAATCTACTAAATTGTTTGTCATATATTTTTATTTTATAATTATTTATCTTTTAATTAATTAAATTTACAATCGTACAAATAATCATTTGATTGTTCAAGAGATTTGGATTCAAAGCATCGATCTATAAAAACTATCAATTAGAGGACAATAGTAAGCACATTATAAATTTCAGTCATCTTATAATTAGATAATAACAATTTGATGATGTGATAGTGCATGACCGTACGAGGTAATTTACCTCAACTTGCGCGATTTTGAATAGGACTAGGAAAAAATGGTCACTGCCAAGGTTGAACGCAAACAAGCTATGAATTTGACTTTTCTTCGAGGAATCATAATCAACTTTCAATACTCTTCCAAGATTAACATTCACATGGAGGGACAAGAGGACAAACTTATAAAATTTGGATAAAAAACGGACTATCGTAAGAAAATACTTAGATTATAAGAGAATTTAAAATTTTCTAAACGTTCGTCCACCAATCCCTCAGTCCATCTCTGACCACAAGTTGGGGGCTTCTTAATAAAAATGGCAGTTACAGGATTATTCATGAAAAACAAAGGTAACTATATCCATAACAAATCATAAGAACTATATAAGACTGCCTATAGTACTAACTCTATAATTCTCAACTATAATGGCCGCTCATGCACTAAGTTACACACCCGAATCAAATGAAATGAGCACCGAGTGTGTGACAAAAGAAATACATTCTCAAATACTGTTTTATAGGTCCATGTGGATCTCTTAAACGGCTTGAACATTACCTTGTGACTGTACATGAGATTTGGCTACCCCTTCTTGTCTCCACCCTTTTTGTCGAGATCTCGATTCCCATATTGCTGTCAATTTCCTCTGAGCTTCCAGTGTTACTTCAGCTTTCTCCCTTGCTTCTTCACATGTTTCCATACCTGAACTGCACTTGTCCGCTTCCTTTTGGTACTGCGATGCTATCTTCTTAGCCTCGAGTAATGCCATGTCTGCTTGTTGCCGACTTTCCAATGCTTCAGTTCTTCTGTCAAAAGTTCTGCAAAGTTCTTTGCGATGTCCTCACTCGTTTCTGGATCATGCTTTGCACAATCTACAGAGTATTTGAATTCAGTCTTCAATACATTAACTGACTGACCGTATAAAACATAGAACAAAACGACTGACATCACCCGGACTAAATCAATGACTCTACATCTTATACAAATCATTAGATGAAGGCGGTTGTTTTGTCAACACAATATGAGAGGGTGTACATTACCACAAGATCAATTATTGAGCAATTTCGATTCATACAAGAAGAATGTATTAACATGTTAAGAAATTGAAGCATGCAAGACAAACTGTTGGTCAACACTATTTCTTGCATCTCAGGAACTCTTGATTCTTTCTTATGCTTCAATATCAACTGTTATTTTAACAACCATCTAATTTCACCTTGGTGCCTATTCCACCAACTTATATCGCTTAGGGTTCCCTGTTTAATTTCAGAAAGTAATGAATATCATGTTAAGAAATTCAAGTAGCTAAAATTAAATTTTTAATCTAAGAGTGATTATAAAGTAGTATATATTCAAAAGACTTTCAACTCATTTGACAATAAATATTTAAACACCCTCGATATACGATGTGCTTAAACCTAAAATCTCTAAAAATAACTATACTTTAATCACTAAAATAATTTGATTCGTATTATAATTAAAATTATCATCAACTATGCATCTTTCAAAATAAATATAATAATATTGTAAATTAAAGCACGCTGTAACGTACAACTGCCTGAACTGGGCCCAACTCTCCTTCCACTCTCTCTCAGTTGACGGGTAGTTGAGCAACGAAAAAGAAGCGCAGCCAACTGGGTAGCCCATTTCACCGAACTATAAATCGCCACGTCACATCATGTCATGTCGGGTCTACTGAACACCGTCACCGTTGGATAAAAATATTAATCAAATCAGGTCTACGGTGAAACGATCCCTTCCTTTATACTCGTTACAAACTGAGACTCCGTCTATCCTTTTTCGCTTCCTTCTTAGCAGGCAAGTTATTTGTTTTTTTCTTTTTGATCTTTACATTATCTTTTGGAAAATCACATGCTGTTTGATCTTTCCTTTTTAAATTTTGTAATTTCAGATATTATTATTATTCAACTATGTAGTGTTTCTTATGTTTGATTGTCTGGAAACTGTGGGAAGGAAGAGGAACTTTGGCAGAAGATTTTCCATCTTACAGTCAACTTTTATTTTGCTCTTACGTAATCTGGCACAAAATTCGGATATAAGTTTATATAACTTTGAAAGATGGAAAAGAAGAAAAAAAACTCGTATATGACACTCAAGACTTCGGAGTGTAGCTCGATTTGGGCCGAGGAAAGGGAAAATATTAAAGCTTGTTATTGTTATTGCTTTTGTTACTTTGATTTTGAAGTTCTTAAGATTATGATTTTTTTTAGAACGGGAGAATTTCTTTTTTATGAAAACTGACATATATATATGAAATCAAAATTATGCATTTTTCTTCTGAATGACAAAAATTCATTTTTTATTTATTAAATATTAGGCTTTGCCTTTGCATGCGACCTTGTTATCACTCTTTACTTGCAGAAGCAAAATATAAATAGGCAGAGAATGTCACAAGCAAGAGCTATAATGAATCACTCAGACCTAAACACTTGCTGATGCTTGATAGGTGAAGTTCACAAGAACGAATTTAGAGATTGAAAACTTCAAACATTTAAAGAGTTTAAGAACAGATACTTGGACTCTCACCAAAGAAAAAAATTCCCCACAGTTCTTCTTGTTTTGTAGCGTTAGCTGGGTTTTATGAGTTATCTTAAAGTCGGAAATGATTTGATTTTCTGCTTTGCAGCTGTGAAAATGGCTATCGAATACAAAGGCATTCGTGTTACACTTCTTCTGTTGTTGCTTCTGTCTCCTGTTGTATTTTCTGGGCCAAATGATGGGTTGTTTAGAATTGGATTGAAAAAGAAAAAACTGGAACAAATCAACAGGGTAGCTGGACACATTAACTTTAAGGAAGGGAAATTGTCAACTGAACTTTTACGGAAGTATAATCCCCAGGGAAGTCCTGGGCTATCTGATGACTCTGAAATTGTTTCTCTCAAGAATTACATGGATGCTCAGTACTTTGGAGAGATTGGTGTCGGCACACCTCCACAGACTTTCACCGTGATATTTGATACTGGAAGTTCCAATCTTTGGGTGCCCTCTTCAAAGTGTTATTTCTCTGTAAGTTTCCAGGCCTCACTCTTCTTCTGTATGATTTCTGGGGGATTGAGTGTTTTTTAGCATTTTTACTCTGGAATTTTATGTAGAGCAGTTATTGGTTTTTGTATTTGGGTGCAGATTGCTTGTTATGTTCACTCCAAGTACAAGTCCAGTCACTCTAGTACCTACCATAAGAATGGTATGTTTCCATGTTTTGTTTGGACTGCAAATAGAGATTATCTGAGAAATCCCTACTCCAACATTTGGGATTGAATTTGGTTATTTAAGAAAACCTGTATTCGTGCTCGAGTAACATGTTAAATCAGTGAAGGTGAACACAATTTCTGATTTAGAAGTTTTATCTAATTTTCTTTCACTAATTTAATTGAACATTTCTGAGCTTGTGTATGAGTTCAAACATGAACTGGTTAATCATAATTAAGAATCTTAAACCTCGCTAAAAAAACTCTTCCAGATTTGAGTAGCTGTTAAGAGTCGGAAGATTTATGCAAATATCAGAACTATCAAACATTATGATAATTATTATGGTTAACCTGTTAAATGTTGTAATATTTTCTAATTCAGCTATAGTTTTTAGGGTTTGGTCGCAGGCTTAAGCTGAACAAGGACAACAGTTTGTATCAAAACTTAAAAAATGGCCATAAATTTGATTTAGTAAAATGCCATTAAAAGAGTTCAAGTCCACTTGTATCCTTATATTGTATGTGCTGTTGATTCTTATGCACATAACTTTTCTCATGATAAGGGGGTGTTCCATAGGAATAAAATGGAGTTACAGCTAAAGGAACCCTGCAAGCTGAGTTCCAAAATCATGTGCTTGAAAATAATTTTCAGTCTGTCCTTGAACCATTATTAGGCCATTTTTATGTTAAATTAAGTTAAACAAAAATCAGAGAGTTTCTGTATCCTCAATCCCTGAGCCATCTAACACATATTAACTCTTAAATTGATGCAGGGACATCTGCTGAGATCCATTATGGAACAGGATCAATTTCAGGTTTCTTTAGCCAGGATGCTGTCAAAGTTGGTGATCTTGTTGTGAAGAATCAGGTAGCCCAAGTGCTATTTCACTATTGTAGTCTGTAGTTCTGTTAGTGCATGACAGCTTAGGACATTAGGGTTTATGATAACTAGTATCTAAAGCTCTTAGGAGCATATGGAAAAGTGAATAAAGAAAAGTAAACATAAAAGAAAAGATAAACTAAGCTTAACACCTAGGATTCTTTGATTGCATCACTGATCACACAACCAAGAAGAAAATAAACCGAAGCATCACATTTAGGTTTCCTTGGGAGTAACACCTAGGATTCTTTGATTGCAAATGTTCTGCTATTGGCATCCATGCTTGCTTAAATCTAAGGTGATCTTGTAAAGATAATTTGAAGGCAAATACTTTTCTTGAAATTTGGTTTTCATCTCATTCCATGTGCTAAGCTGTGTCCCAACTTTTGTTATGTTTCTTTCAACACCATGCCACCACATATCTGCCAACCAACAAGCTTTATCTTTGCAAATCGAATCGATTGAAGTTCTAACACGTTGTGTCAATCAAAACACTCTTCAACAGGCTCCTGCCAGGATATGTATAACCTAAATAAAACAAACTATGATATTAAACCCTCATGTAATGTAAATAAGTGTACAACCCTAGGTCTATAAAATATAACAAGAAACCCATAGATACAACAAGAGTAAATGAATATAAAGTATTAAGTTAATCCCTCACTAGCTTATTAGGGCTCTTCAATCATCAGTAACTTTTTTGAAAATTTGTTTTATTATTTCTATTTGTAACAGGATTTTATTGAGGCAACCAGAGAGCCTGGTATCACATTCTTGGCTGCCAAGTTTGATGGAATATTTGGCCTTGGATTTCAAGAAATCTCAGTTGGGGGTGCTATACCGGTCTGGTAAACCTTTTGTCTATGCCACCAACGTACTAGTAATTGCTTCATTGTAATTTAAAATTCACAGATAACTTCTGCAGATTGTGCAAAGTTACTAATAGCAACTTGTCTATGGTGCTGAAACACACAATTCGTGTAGGTACAATATGGTTAGCCAAGCCCTTGTTAAGGAACCAATTTTTTCGTTTTGGTTGAACCGCGATATTAAAGGTGAAGAAGGAGGAGAAATTGTGTTTGGCGGGGTTGATTCTAATCATTATAAAGGGAAGCACACATATGTTCCAGTGACTCAGAAAGGCTATTGGCAGGTTGAAGATGTTATTGATTACACCACTTGTTTCTGGCATCTATGAGATAATTTCATTTCTGTTCTGATTTGCTTCTGTTTTGCCTATTTGCAGTTTGATATGGGTGATGTTCTAGTTGGAGGTGAAACAACTGGTAACCACGCATATCTTGTTTCAAAATTAAATGCTTTTTATATGGAAAAATAAATTAATTTGGCTGGTTTTAGACGATTTTGTTGCCTATGGTATTGAGATTTGCATACCCGTTTTCAGGATTCTGTTCCAGTGGCTGTGCAGCAATTGCTGATTCTGGAACTTCAATGTTGGCTGGCCCTACGGTAATTTTAAAATTTTCCCAATATTTCTAATGTCTCTTGTAATGGAGGAGAGATCCTAAAGTAAACGGAGTATCTGAAATTAGATATGATGGATCGCAACGCACTCTTGAAAAATAAATACATTGTATAATTTTTATGTGGAGTGGCAAAAGGACGGGCTGGGGTCGTTTTGGGTTTGACAGTCATTTTAGGTCCAAGCTGTGAGGTAAAAAATTTAAGTTCAGGTCGTTCAGGATGAATATGGAGTCTTTCTGGGTTTGGGTTTGACAGGTTTGAGTTTACCTTTTCTGGTCAAACTGTGTTTGTGTTAGGGGGGTCATTATGTTTCCTTTCTAAAACAGTATTATAATGATTTTGAAAGGCTTTTCTCAAGTAATGTACGAGTTACAGGGACTCCACAGCTTTACGATTTAGAGTTGCCAATACTTCTGTGCTATGTTGCCCTGACTCTCCTTTTTGCTTGAAATTACCATGTGACCCGTATTTTTGAATGGGTACGAGGATATTGCTGTGTAAGGACCTTCTAAATTCATGGAAAAACTTCAAAAAAAAAAAATTGCACATACCCATGTCAGATTCTTACCCTTATCCAACACTCAGCACCCAAAAGTAACATAGCTTCTGTGCACTTTTGAACTTCCAGCACTTTCTTTTTCCTCTCTATTTTGAATTTAGATGCATTGCATGTTTTCAAAGCTTCAGGCAATGTTTCTTTTCCAGCTAGAAGTGGTGCTATTCTCATCAACATTTATTGTCTTCAATGTAAACCTGTTATTTGTTTGAAATCCATATATAATTTCGCTGCTGTTGTATTGTTTTAGAACAATAGCTGATTTCTATTGATATTATCATATCATTTCCATATTTTCAGACCATCGTTACTCAAATTAATCATGCCATTGGTGCTGCTGGTGTTATTAGCCAAGAATGCAAAACAATGGTTTCAGAATACGGAAAAACCATACTGGAAATGCTGGTGTCTGAGGTTGGTCGTTACTCATTTCTCTCACTTAATGCATTTTTGTCCAACACCTCACTCTTCTCTTGAAGAGAAATGAAACCTTTGAGATTGAGTTAATTAAACTGCTAAGAAACCATATATATTCTGTAGATAAATTTTGTTCTTTAGTTGTTTTTGTACCCTCAAACTCCTTGCAAGACACTGATAAGTTCTTTGATTATTCTTTATTTATAGACACAACCACAAAAAATCTGTTCTCAAATTAGTTTCTGTACCTTTGATGGGACTCGAGGTGTCAGGTCAGAATCAATCCATTTCTTGTTGTCACTACAGTTGTATAATATGCTAGAACTGCAAAATATTTCTTCTGGTATCTAAAATTTCATCAATTAATATCTGTTCAGTGCACGGATTGAGAGTGTAGCAGAGGAGAGCTCGGGCAAATCATCTGATGGTGTCAATGATGCTATGTGTACTGCTTGTGAGATGGCTGTTATTTGGATGCAAAATCAGCTTAGAAGAAACAAGACAGAAGAACAGATCTTGGATTATGTGAATGATGTGAGTTATTTCTTCTACATCTTGGACAATTAGCTCATGGTATGCTTATATTTCTTCTGTTATAAATGCAGCTTTGTGAAAGACTGCCTAGTCCAAATGGAGAATCGGCGGTTGATTGTCGCAGTCTTTCTTCCATGCCTAGTGTTTCATTTACCATCGGTGGTAAAGTATTTGACCTTGCACCTGAGGAGGTATGTTGTTTTTACTCTTCTAGAGTTGTCTTGGTTTCAAATGGTCAATTACTTTTGGCTTCTTTTGAGTTAGAAAATCCATCTCGATGTATCCTGACAACATACCCAACCTTATAGTTAAATCTGGTTGATTTTCCGGTCAGTAGGGTTGACTTCTAGATTGGTTAACACTGCCAGTACCCCCATCAGAATCCTTTTCAGGGTTTTGGTTAAGACCAACCAGTTGTAGTTGTAACAACGTTTATTGCAACTGATTACCTAATTTGGTCTTGCTCTCGAGTTCTACAACACTTGCAGCCATTCGGGATTTAACTTCTACCATTCTTGCTTCGACTTCTTCTCTAACAATGGAATTGTCCATGGTGTTTGGCTTTGATGCCAGGTTACGTTCACGAGTTAAGGAATGAGTTATCATTCGATTCATAGGAAAATCTGCTTCGATGGAGGGGGCTCTCCCCTTGTTGTGGTTCTTGCCACAAGAGTAACCTATGATGAATTCTTGCAACTCGTCAAAGGGAGTTCCTAACCTTAGACTCATTAAAAGAGCATATTGAAGCTCCCTAATTAAGGACTTCCTTTTATTGCAACTCGTCAAAGGGAGTTCCTTTCTTCTAGTTTCCTTTGTTCTCTAGTCTCAGGAAAGGTCTCACAAAGTGTAGGAAGTGGTTTTTTTGTTAGGATTCGAGATCTCACCTCATCAAATTCTCGGTTCAGGTCAGCTAGGATAAGATAAACCTGCTCATTCTCTTCTTATTCATAGCATTTACACAATCTACAAGACACTCCCACTTATCATTAGTAGTAAATGGTAACCTCACTGCCGTTGTCTAGTCTTCCAATAAATTTGAATAGGTGTCTCTCAAAGCATCCGAAACATCTTTTGCAGTCGAGAGAAAAGAAAAGGTTTAGCTATGGCTGGTTCCATAGAATTAATAAGCCAAGCAATTACCAAAGAATTTTCTGACCAACATGAGTTCATCCTCGGATTGGCCGCCAATGGCCGCCAGATTTATCTGGTTAAATGCCCAAACATGTTGCTCCGATCAATCACCAACTTAGCGGACTAAAACCATTTCATTTTCAAGGTTGTTTTTGCCATTCAGTTGGTGAGACGATTTTACCCCAAGTCATTGTACTCTTGGTGTTTCAACAGCAGAGCTTTCTTCTGCCTCTGATCATTGATTCTTTCTCTGGTGAATGCCGTTTTAGCCATGAAATAATTGAAGAATTATTTTGGCTTTGATGCCATGAAAGTTATAGATGGAAATAACTTCTTTTCCATGAAAAGGATTACATCATAATCAGGGAAACAGATCCCTTAATGGAAATAACTTTGCCTGAAATTTCTAGAAAGCATCCCTTAATGATGAATGTATCAGTAGCTAGAATTACAAAAGCTCTGCATGTTCTGTTGTTTCTTTTTCTAATTAAGCTAATATCTGCTTTCTCTATCGTCTTTATATCGCGGTGGTGTTCTGCATCAGTACGTTCTAAAAGTGGGAGAGGGAGCTGTAGCTCAATGCATTAGTGGATTTACTGCTTTGGACGTTCCCCCTCCTCGTGGACCTCTCTGGTACTCTTTTTTTTTAACGTTTTATTATCGTCTGTAGGCAAAACCCTATTGATTACTGATCTTACCCTGGTTTCCGGTAACACGGGAAGAGCAAGTTTTGTAGAAATGAGGTTTGATGGTGGTTGTGGTTTTGGTTGAAACAGGATCTTGGGAGATGTTTTTATGGGTCGCTATCACACTGTCTTCAACTACGAGAAACTCACAGTTGGGTTTGCTGAAGCTGCTTAAATATATTATGTGTGAAAGTGGCAGCGTGTAGTTTGAATATATTATGTTATAAACTTAGAACATTTTAAATGTTGTGGACTGGGGTGTGAACTTGTATTGCGAATACTTGCTTCATCAATATTGGTTGCCTTAAAAACATTAATCCACTCATTGGAATAAGTTTGCTCTTACTGTTTACAGAAATGCTTCCAATCCAAATTTTCCAAAAAGAAAATACCATGGGGTCGAGCCGATTTGATTTAATATATTTCTAAAATAATTTCACATTTTTTTAAAAATACTTTATAATAGGAATAGTGCTTATTGTTACGGGGTTAGACTTTTGCTAGCTAATTCGTGAGGCATTTAGACGATTTCTAAATTGAAAGAGCACCTAAGTAAGCCTTCACCACGTCCTTGTGAGTCTCGGGCTCACCAAGCGACACACTAACCCGCTAGGGTTAGACCAACACTGTAGAAATTAAACACCAATGGGACTAATCAAAGCCACCAAGGTTGAACAACTCCGGGAAACACAAGCACTATTGAAACTCTCTAAGTCGCAAAGACTTAACCCACTTTAGAACTCTAAAAGAAGTATGGGAAAGTAAACCCTCTCGAGGCTACTCGATCCTCACGATTGGCAACACAAGCCACAAAGGCTTAAGCACAAAGAGAAAGCAAGCCAACAAGTTTAAGTAACAAAGCCACAAAGGCTAGAAAACTAGAAACAAACCCTACAAGGGAACAAGGAGTAATTCATGAGTAAATGCATGAGTTTTATTACTCTCTCAAGAGAATGTTTCTGATGGATCATTACAAATGAGGGGAGAGACTTTCTATTTATAGTTGATGCCTTAAAAAACCAACAGTCTAGATCAAAGTACATCAACGGCTTACATTAAATCCAATCCTATCAAAACTCTATCTAAGGAATTTGAATTCAAACAACATTATCTCTTTAATTAAGTATTTATCTACTTAAATTTAAAGATAATCTTATCCGCTATGGAACCTTCCAAGGAGTGGGCCAAGTCTGATGGTTCTAGGCAAGCCCAATACTACACACAACTCTTCTACAGAAATCCGTGCATATGTCTCGGTCCAAATCCATAAGTCTTGACAAATTTGCCCCCATCAAACATGTAACACCCTCATCGCTTTTCTTGAATGCCCTTGAAAATTATCATTCCCGGACTCGTAAGCATTCTACAAGAACTAGGCCAAAGTAAGCTTGGCCTATGACAAGCCCAAGTCTGCACACACATAACCCCTTTTCTAAGCAATGGTTCCAAAGTCTAGAACCCTAATGTGCAGCTCGTGACATTATACACAAATTCACCACTCTTAATTTAGATAATAATAAGGTTAATATTTATTTGAAGTAATAACACATGAGTTTTTATTTGAAAATTTACAATGAAATGAGTTTTTTTAATTCACATCTCGTGAGTCTTTTATTCTCAATAATTTTTTAATAGTTATGCAATTAGATTATATTAGAAAAAAAAAAAGAATGAATTAGAAATATAACTATCCAAACTTAGAGAGAAAAATGATGATAATAATTATAAAAAAACTCATAAAAATAAAAATGTTAAATCTAAAGATACGAAGAAAAAACGAAATCTTCTCTTGAGAATGACGAATAACATCAAAAGAACTCAATAACTTTCATAAAAATTTATTGTCTCTGACGAACGAGACGCTTTACGAAGTGGTAAGCGAACCAAACTATTTGATAGATTGTTTCACAATATAATTCTGATTATATTGACAAACAATCTTTTTTCAAAGAAGAGATTTGGCAATACTTAAACACTGAAAAATCATTCAGAAAACAAATATCGTAAGGATCTTTGTGCGAGCACCAAATTGACTGGTACGTAAAAAATATATCAAAAGTCATAAGGATCGTGACACAATAATAGAGAAAACCGTGTCACAAGGACATATATTCTTATTCAAAAATAAAAAATACAATTCAAGAAAAAAAAGGAAAATAAATGACATAGTATGGAAAAATAAGAGAATTAATAATCATCATTGGTCGAGAATCAACATTAAGATTGAGGTCAATGCTTGCTAAAAAATTAAAAAAAAAAGGAATGTGACACAAGAATATTGAGAGAAAATTTAGGTTTTCTCATAAATTTTTTATCTTTAAGAAAATAAAATTAAAATATGATTATCTTTTACGTTTGTGTTTATCCACTTTTCTTCGTTGATTTCAAAAAGACAATATATCGTGATTTTTGTTTTTATTTAATTAAGATGTGATCACCACGAGTTAACTGACGTTAAATATTTTAGTATAATAACTCATTTGGTTTCTGTTATTTACATATTCTCTCAATTTAGTCGTACTTTTAATAAATTAAAATAAATTTAATCCTCAAATCAAATGATATCACATGTCACTATTCGATTGGAGAACTAATTTTATTTTAATTTAATATATTTATTTTAATAAGTATTTATAAACTAAGATACAATATATATACATCATGTTGTCTATTTTAGACCAAATAATGATATTGGTTCAATGGTTGGGTACATGCTTAGATTACTAAGAGACCCGTGTTTCTTTAAGTATTAATTAATAATGAAAAAAATATATTTTTAAAAAATCAATTTGGTCGTGCTCCGGTTGAGACGGACAGCAATTTGGTCGTGCTCCCGATTTTTGTCGGCAGCGGATATCGGGACCGGACAGTACTTCGCTTCATTCCGGGTCGGTAGCCCGCTAAGGAAGTTTATAATGATCATCGATACGGGAAGCAGTTTTACATGGGTGAAATGCAAGTACAAGTGCAAGGATTGTTTCAAAGATAGGGTTAGCCTTCATGAAAGGATATTTAATGCTAAAGCATCACGTTCGTTTCATCTGATTCCTTGCTCCTCTGATATTTGCAAGCAGGACCTTTCTCGATCTTTCTCTTTGCAGCATTGTCCTCGCCCCTCGACTCCTTGTTCCTATGATTACAGGTGCATCTTTTTACTCCCTTAATTCTTGTTGGTAGGGTTAAGTATTTGATCAGAGTATGAGTAAAAAAAAATATTGAGTTAATTAGTTGGCAAGTCTTGTTTTATAATATAAACTTTATTTGATTTGTTTTAAGTCAAGTCAAATTTATTAAATTTGAATTGAGTTGTGTTTTCGAGTTTTTGTTATAATTTAATTATAAATATTTATAACATTAAGATAATATTTGACTACAATTTAAATGATTCTTTATAATTATATATATATATTTCATATGTAATATATGTATATGACGCAAAATTGAGGATATCATGCAAAATTGAGGAATTTAACTTGAATTTGAGAATCAATCGACTAATTACTAAAAATTTTGAATTAGTTGAGCTCTATTTTATAACTCAAACTTTATTTGAAATTTTTTCGAGTCGAGAATATCAAGTCAATTTGTTTGAGATTTTTTTATATTTAAGTATAAATATTTATAACTTTATGATAATGCTTGATTTCAATCTAAATGATTTTTTATAATTATATACAATATAATATATACTTTGTATTTTTCATTCGTGACATACATATATCATGTGGAATTGAGGAACTAACTCGAAAGTAAAAATCCATCTATCAATTACTAAAAATTTTATTTTATTCGAATTTTATTTTATAATTTAACTCGAATTAAAAAAAATAAAGTAGAATCAAGTCGATACCAATTTTTTTAAGCATCAAGTGAGTTTTATTCACCCCTGTTTATTGGTGTTCTAGGTAGTCGGATGGTACGGTGGTGCACGGATTCTTCGGCAACGATACGGCTATAGTACGCCTCACAAACGGCCGGGAAGTTAAAGTGCCGAGAGTGATTATCGGGTGTAGCGAGATCATACAGGGAGAGTTCCACGACATCGATGGTGTAATGGGGTTAGGTTTCGAATGGCATTCATTTGCAGTGAAAGCAGCTAAGAAATTCGGGTACAAATTCTCCTATTGCTTGGTCGATCATTTGAGCCCCAGCAACCTCGTCAACTTCCTCGTTTTCGGCGAAGTCAATGATCCCACAACGCCGAAAATGCAGTACGCGGACTTGATTCTGGGATGGTGAATCCATTTTACGCCGTAAACGTCTCCGGAATCTCCATCGACGGCGTATTGCTCGATATCCCGTCGAATGTATGGGACGTTAGGAGCGGCGGCGGCGTTATCGTCGACTCGGGTTTCAGTTTATCACAGCTCGTGAAACCCGTGTTCGACCGAGTCGTCGCCGCCTTCGAGGCTCCCATTAGCAAATTCAAGAAAGTGTCTCAAAGCTCGGAGGGGCATGACCCGGATATTTGTTTCGATGATACGGGGTACAAGAAGTTGATGATGCCGAAACTGAAGATCCATTTCGCCGGTGGAGCTAAGTTGACGCCGCCGGTGAAGATTTACGTGCCCGATGCGGCAAAAGGGGAGAAGTGCCTTGGGTTCACCACCACGGCTTGGCCTGGATCGATGGAGATCGGAAATATTTTGCAGCAAAATCATTTGTGGGAATTCGATCTTTTAAACAGCAGGTTGGGATTTGCTCCTTCTAGCTGTATATTTGAACGATAGAAAAAATGGGGAGAAAAAACTAGAAGCCATTGGAGTCATCTTCTTAAACGAATTCTTCCATTTTTATGTTTTAGAATGATAGGGATACATATGATATATCCAAGTTATTTGGAATTTGTTAGGAAAAAAAATTTAAACATCCATTATTATGGACTGAAATTCGAGTAACTCAAATCATTGAATGGGTCAATAATGTTTATTCAAATGTTATAAGAGTAATTAATTTTGATTGTAATATATATATATATATATATATATTACTAATTATAAATGTTAATTTAAATTAATTATTTGAAATAAAATTTTAATTTCAACTTTAGTTTTTCATTGTTTGAACTTGCTACCCAATCTACTTAGAAAATGGCATGTGTAAAATTGAGCTCGACATTCAGTTAACTCAATTCGATTTAAAAAAAAATACACCATCCACTTAAAACTCGACTTTTATTTGAGTTTAGAATGATTTTAGTCGACTCGAATTTAACTCGCTTGTTTAAGATAAAATATGAATAACTTAACTCACTTGTTTGAGATAAAATCTAAATCTGATCAGACCTGAAATAAATATATTTATACAAGATATTAATTTTATTCGATAAAAATAGAGATCTAATTAAAAAATATGATAAGCTACGCATTTAGTACCAAAACTGATATTTTACCTAAAAATAATATAGAAAAATGTATTGTTACAATTATCCCTAAATATAAAATATATAATTATATTATTTTTTGGGTCCGGTCGAATATCTTTCAACAAAAACCCAAACTCAAACCGACCTAAACATATTATCTAGAAACTCTATTCGAGCCTACTCGAACAAATTCTCTAAAAAACTCAATCCAATAGGATCAGATCAAATCAGAACTCATCGAATTTAGGTGTCGTGCATGTACGTTAGTCATTAAAATACTTGACCATATTATCAGTTTCTTCATTTTCAAGTTAGAGGACATACATTCACATGGAAACGCCTGAAAAAAAGAGCAGACGTGCTGGTATTCAACACAGGTTGTTGAAGTCATAAAGGACCACTCCAAGGATAAGGAAAAGCACATACTATATTAAAACACGCATCATACTGATTCAATTGTTTGAATAATACTTTCTTTTACCATCAAGACTATTAATTCTACTGATTTTTCTATGTTTGGGTTAATCATATCGTATGTTATATGTATGTTACAGGTGAGATTTGATCGAAACAAGATTAAATATTATAAGAAACATTGAAGGTTTGGTTTTATCGGAGAACATAGGCTAATTGGGTTGACAATAATATCGACACAACTAAACCAGTCTTTTTCCAATTAGTCTCCCACGCACATTTTGAGTAAGTTTCTTTCTCTTTCTCTCTTCTAAAATTATTGTATAGGGTGAGCCATTGGCAACTTGTAGACATTGTTATAATTGTTGGTAAAATATACTGTGAAATGAAACAGTTAGCATCGACTAAAATTAATAACAAATAAAATAAACGATAAAGAATAAATTGTGATATGGAATAGCATCTTAGAAAATATTTTGTCTCGATATGTGTAATTGTTGTTGTAGACGTACGTCACCGAAATTAACACGGTAATTCCCAATAGCAAATTAATTTACCAATTTAAAAAATATCATTCTGCCCATAAATATGTTTTAAAGTAATTCATTTTGATTTTGCAAAAAAAAAATTGTTTTAAAGAATTTGTTTTATTTTCTTAAAAAAATAAAACATGACATAGACGTGTCCAAAACGCATATTACCACAAACAAAATAAGTAGGACAATAGTGATGATAACATGCACATGTAAGGGAGTTGTTTCACCATATTCACTAGAGGAGAAAGAATTTCTCTTTAAATATTTTTCCAAATACATTTTTCTTCCTAATATAGGATAAGTGCCCTTAACTTTAATGCACAACAAACAATATTTTATTATTTTTGGGTAATATGCTAATGTTTGATTACCTTAGCATAAGCCTCATCTCCATGTAATTTTTCACTCAATTTGATTTTTTTTTGGGGACAATTCCATGTAATGGTGTGAAATTAAGTTGAAGGCCCAGAAAAAAGTAAGAAAATGGGGGCTTCTTTTATTATTCTTAGCGATGACCCAACTCACAAGAAAAATATCCAAACACTTTGCATGCAAGTTTGGTATTTATTTAGCTTCTCTCTTCTCTCCGCTTGACCGCTTCTGAACAGAAGAGGGTTTCCCCCCCCCCCCCTTCTTCCACTTCTTGCGCTCTCTCTCTCTAGAAAGAAACGGGATTAATCACGGAGCTTTTCTTTTCGGATCGAATAACGCGGTAATCATCTCGCTTCCTATGATATTTTGTGTAAGCTATTTCTGAAAAAAAAATGACTTTATTGTTACCTTGTCCGCCTCTATCAATTCTGTGAGATACGAATGTAGGTTTTTTTTAATTCCATTATGGATGCGATATCCGTATACTAGGTGAAATATCCTGGTGAAGGTGTCAAAGATTGCTTCTTTTAGCTTCCGCCTGTGAATAAAGATATTTACACTGTTTTTTTTTATCTGAGCGTTTCGTTGTTGGTGAATCTTCAAATTCAAAACTTGGTTGATTCTTTTACTATTTGAAGTCTTGAATCATGTGGATTCTGTGTCAATGAGTTCTGTGCAAACAGGGTCTTTAGTGATGGCTACTGAGATAGTGAATAATGATGTTCTTGCGGGAGACAATGAGGAGTTGGAGATTTCGAATGGCATTGAGAAATTAGAGATATCAAATAGAAACGATGACTTATCTGCAAACTCTTCATCTATTAAAAAAGATGAAGAAGGAGGCACAGGTGATCAGTTGTTTGTTGAATAATTCTTTAAGACTTTTGTAGTTCATATATGCTGCTGCTGGGTTGACCATTCATATCTTTTGCAAATTCAATAAATGCGAGGGCACTTCAATGTTTTGAAATCCTTTTAAGTTTGCAACAATCGTTCAATAACTGTTTTGTTTTTCTAAATTGTGATTATTGCTTCTATTTCTTTCCAAGTTTCATATCCCAACCCATTTGGTTTTGCTTTAAGATATGCTGTTCCAATGAGATGATGATAATGCTTCTCTTAAAGGCTTCATATTTTTGTGTTATTTTCTTGATTGCAGTTTTGAATTGTAAGGCAACTTAATTATTATTTATTTACAGTATAAATTTCATATTAAAAAGTTGGTTTAACTATTTTTTTCTATAAAATACAGATGCACTTTTTCTTTCTAACATGTACACTTCTCTGCATTCTTAAAATTGTTCTCTAGCAGAAGTTGCAAAGAAGAAAAAGAAGAAGAATAAAAGCAAGTGAGGACCTGCTTCTAAATTTGGTTAGTTTATGTTCTTATTGGAGATGATCAGTTGAGAGTTTGACATTATTATGTTCAGGAAAAAGGAGGCACTGAAGCAGACTGACCCTCCATCTATTCCTGTTGTTGATCTTTTCCAATCTATGGAGTTTCCTGAGGGTGAAATTCAACAGTACAACGATGAGTGAGTCTTGAAATTTTCTTGAAACTACACTTAAATAAAAGTGCACTTTTTTCGTTTTAATTACTAAAGCTGAAGAAAGATCTTCAGTGCATGTTATTTTTGTTTTGAAATTATAGTAAACAATAGGTGCTTTACAACACAAGGAATTTGTAGGAAGCCAAAGTTGAACTTTTCTTCTTTTTCCCTTTGATGATTGTTCTTTGTTATAGTAATGTACAAAGTAGTAAATTTTTAATCTGCCTTAAGCCGAGAAAGTGAAAGTGTTATGTTATACTTTAAATGAGAAGATAATCATGTCAGAATGCTGTTGTCTGAGGAAGTACTTGATTGATTGCAGAAAGGTACGGAATAAGATACATTTCTTCCTTTGGAATAATAAGAAGCACATGAACATATTTTACAGTATTTAGCTCCTTTTTTGAAGTTTAGTTTTCTCTGTTGTTTGTATTGATTAATGGTAGTATCAAGTGCTTCTCATAATATTTGTCTGTAAAGCATGAAATTTTTTATTTATTTTTATTGCTTTATAGTAATTTGTGGAGGACTACTTCTGAGGAGAAGAGAGAATTAGAGCGCCTCGAAAAGCCAAAATATAATGCTGTGCGTCAAGCAGCTGAAGTCCATCGTCAGGTTTGTTTTTAGTCTTATTTTTGCATAAATTGCTGCTTGTTATGACGTAAATATGAATATTATTTGATATGGGAAAATTTGACTTTGGGGACCTTTGCTATAATGTTTGACCATCACTAGTATTGCTTTCTCATTCTTAGGTTCGGAAATATATCAAAAGCATCTTGAAACCTGGAATGTTAATGGCTGACCTGTGCGCGACCTTGGAGAACACAGTTCGCAAGCTAATTTCAGAGAATGGTTTGCAAGCTGGGATTGCATTTCCTACTGGATGCTCTCTGAACTGGTTAGTTTTATGTTTAACTTTTGATGGGCCAATGTAACTGTAACCGTTTGTATCCATGCTCAAACCGTTTTGGTCTATCAGGGTTGCTGCTCACTGGACTCCCAATTCTGGAGATAAGACTCTCCTTCAGTATGATGATGTGATGAAGTTGGATTTTGGAACTCATATTGATGGTAATACCACGGTTGCTACATCATGTACTCTTTTTCTCTGCTCTGTTTGCTGATTAGATCTGTAATTTCATAAGGAGTTATGGTTCTTGTGAATTGTGATATTTCTTTTGAGCTGGAGGTGTCAAAAAAATGAGTTATTGGGTTTGCAGGATATATAGTTGATTGTGCCTTTACAGTGGCATTTAATCCTATGTATGATCCACTTCTTGAAGCTTCTCGTGAAGCAACCAATACAGGTATCAAGGTACTGCAACCACTCAATATGTGTATTTCAAGAGATAATTTTGGTCCTTTTTTTTGCTTTCTTTTTATTATATATTTTTCCTGTGGTAGGTTGTACTTAATTATTGAACATTTAAAAAAATGTTGTGTTGGTGAATGGAAAGAAACTTCACCCAATTAATTCATGCCCCAAGTATCTCCTGAAACTCTTATCTTTCCTAGTAATGTGACAGTCACCTTGATTGGTCATATTTGCATATGAATATAACGTTAGTTTTTATTACTATTATTATTAGGGTGAATATTTTTGCACTCTAGAATATAATTTAATGGTCATTTAATTGTTCAGGAAGCTGGTATTGATGTCCGTCTTTGTGATGTTGGTGCCGCAATTCAAGAGGTGATGGAATCATATGAGGTTGAAATAAATGGGAAGGTGTTTCAAGGTAGGAAATTTAGTCAAAGATATGTATGTTTAAATAAGATTTATCATCTTTATTTATATTTATAATATCACCACTGCAAATTTAGATTTTGGTTAATTAGCGTTCAACATTGAATATAACTGTCATTGCAATAAGTGGGCTTCTTTTCAGCAGTCAAAGCATATCTCTGTAGATGAAATGTGCAATAATTGTAGTTTCCTTGGATCTCTATCCTTTTGAATAAAATTAAGGTAATATTTGATGGAATTGCATTCACATCAGAAAATTTCATGAGTATTTTATATTGTGGACAATAACTAGATGCTTTAATTTCATTTGATTTGCATGATGTTTATTCAGTTTTCAACAGCATTACCTCATTTTGGACTCCCAACTGCAAATAACAACATTTGGTTTGAACCATATTCTCTCTGGAGAGCAGTAAATGGTTGAAGTTGCTGAAATTTTTGGAAAATGATGTCTTATAGATAAATGAAAATTATTTACTGTGCATAGAGCACACAGAAGGCCATATTTAGTAATAACATGTAATTTATAAGTCTTATAAAAAAAACATGTCCTTCATATCTTGTCTTTATATGAACCTTTTCTAGGGTATTTAAATGTCTTTGGCAGTTAAAAGCATACGTAACTTGAATGGACACAGCATTGGGCCGTATCAGATCCATGCTGGAAAATCAGTTCCTATTGTGAAAGGTGGGGAGCAAACAAAAATGGAAGAGGGTGAATTTTTTGCCATCGAAACCTTTGGTTCTACTGGTAATATATCTCATCAGATGGGGAATTGAATATTTACCTAGTATATGGTAGTTTGTATGTATCTCTATCCTCTAACCAGTATTTCTTTTTTGACTTTTTTGCAGGAAAAGGGTATGTCAGAGAAGATCTAGAGTGCAGCCATTATATGAAAAACTTTGATGCTGGACACATTCCGCTGAGGTTGCCTAGAGCGAAGCAGCTGCTAGCTACAATAAATAAGAACTTCTCTACATTGGCCTTCTGTAGACGGTATTTGGATCGCTTGGGAGAGACCAAATATCTGATGGCGCTGAAGAATTTATGTGATGCTGGCATTGTTCAGGTAGAGCATCTTGTTGTTGATCTTCACTGTATCTTGAAATTTTTGGTTTTGCACTTTGTTTCAAGTCATTCGTTATTGGAAACTTTTTGATAGCCTTGCATGCTATTCGTATAATTTGGGCCAAGTGGACCTGTTATTCCTAATTATTTTAGCCACCATTTAGCTTTATGGTAGTGACTTGCATCCGCCCATATAGAGGTCAACGTATTTGGTGGGTTCTTGGATGATTATAATCCTCGAACCCAGATATACATCAGATACGGGTTCTTCAAGGAAAATAGAGAGCATACGATGTTGTGCTTTGCCAGTTGGTAATAATACATAAAGTAGCTTAAAAGGGAGATTGATATTATCATGATGTACTACAAAAGTTGAGATTAATGAAGAAGGTATTTGCTTGCAGCCTTATCCTCCTCTATGCGATGTTAAGGGTAGCTATGTGTCTCAGTTCGAGCATACCATATTGCTGCGGCCGACCTGCAAAGAAGTTATATCTAGAGGTGATGACTACTAAGGGGAATTAGCTGAAAAGTTTTGTCAGTAAACATCTTTGATATTTGTTTTTCTGTTGCATGAGTCACTAAACCATTAATGTTGTAATTTTAGCACTGTAACTTTGTGTTTCAAGACTCATAATTGGAATTAAAATTTCAGTATCTTTGCTTTTGTTTGGTTTTTCAGAAAATGAACCAATCCTCATTTATGAATGAACCTGGTACATCAAATATGATATGCATTACAATAACTATAATGGGTTTATTTGTAATTCTCTTTTCAGACTTGAACTTTCTTGTTTTATGTATCCGTGATTTTATAATACGTCATCAGTAGTCTTGTTTAGAAGTAATAATCAAGGCGAAGATGTTGGTGATAAAAAATGAATTCAGCATGAATCTTGATGCTGTTGATTAAACTACTGATTTACACTGGCAAATTAGAGATTGAACCATACGGTATGCTTTATGACTTGTTATTTCTACTTGCATTTTGCAAATTCGATTGTGATAACATTATGCCAAAGCATGCTTTTATCTGATGCTTTATCCTTAAGAATTTTATTAACACAATGACAAAATATTCTAACAACTCCCAGCCAATGCATGTTGTACCCTTATGTTATGAGGATAAAGATGCTTTTCTCTTTCTCATACATAGACCTGAGTATCGATCGAGTTGGTGTTAAAAAATTGAAAATCCATACCCACTGATTTTTATTTTTTTAAAATATTAAAATTAAACACACTATAGTCAAAATATGATTAACTCGACTTTAGATTGATTTTTTTTCAATCATAGTAGAACAAAATAAAGTTTGGGTTTATTTATTTATTGCTTTATTTATGTTGGCATATGTATTATATGACTAGCTGCTTCCGATATGTGCAATGAATGGTATTTTAAGCGATTAAAAAATTTCTCCCAACTGGTACTTCCGGATAGATTAGTGTATAGGCATATTTATTTTGTTTACAGATAACAAAAATCTTAAAATGAAAACTTACCAAAAAAATTAATGGAAAACATGGAGAGGTCGGTTCTGGAGATTATGTTTAATTCATTTTCTGATCTTCGCGAGAAATCATCTTTAATTTTTTTTTAATTAGATTACAAAACGAATCCGAAAATACGACAGAAGCGAGATATGGTTTGGCAGTCAAAAAAGCCTTGGCATATTCTGGAAGCAAAAGTAGAAAGGGAAGAATAAATAGAAATTGCTGAGCATCTTCACCATAATCCACTAACAGGCAACAACACAGGTAGAAAACTACATATTCCATCACAGCTAACCACGGCATCTTGCGAAAGCTTTACAACTTATAAGAGGATTATTGTTACAGTCATATCATTTTCTTAAGCGCGCTTGGTTTCCAACAGACTCCAATCTCTTGCCTAAACTTGGCTGCCTCCTCCAATCTTCTCGGACCAAAACACTTACAAACAAGGTTAGGTTAGTCCCTGCAAAACAATGAACAGCTTTAAAGAGAATAAAATACCAAAAGATAAAGCATCTGCTCAAGTCTGACAATAACGAAGTGGCCAAGGAAGTTTTTTTTGGTGGGTTGGTAGGGCGGTTTGAGTAGTAGAATAGGTATGCACGAGTTTCTGTATTTTTTCTTGTATGACAATTAAGGAAAGGCATTGGCCTTAGCAAAGGGTGCAGATGACAAGGCTAGTGTGTCCAACAAAACTACAGATTATGACAGCCTCCACTTTGTTTCCATCTAAAATATTACGTATTTTTATAATATTATCGATTTCACTTTAATTAAATTAAATAAATTTCAAAAGTGATTCACATAATATCTACACTAATATTTTAAACTACAACTTAAAATATTAAGTACTTCACGTAAAAGTAAGTGTCTAAATTATAATCGAAGTTAATTTATAATGTTTAAATAATATTTACTAAAAATAAGTGTTAATATTTTCTTTGTTATATTTTTAGATATTTATAGTTAAAAATAACATTTTGAGTGACATGTGTCATGCTCAGATTTAATGATTTTTTAACGGTAGACACTTAAAAATAGAACGTAGAAAACATTATACACATATTTTATTTTTAATGTAAATTATTTTAGACACCAACAGTTAACTTTAAGTATAATTTAGATACTTATTTTCATATTAAGGCAATGTTAATCTATACAATCTAAAGTATAAATATGATTCGATAATATCTTTTATTTTATTTTAAAATATTCTGTGAATTTTTAAATTGATTAAAATTCAATTTAAGTATAATATCTTAAGTTGCAACCTAAAATATTCACCTGAAAAACTTAATATTGCGTAATTACACTTTTGGTTAAAATGTTACATAAGTTTATAAAATAATTAAAATTTAATTTGACGGTAACAATTTAAGTTCTAATAAAAGAATGTTACCATTTAATATTTTTCATGATTATAATTTTGGATAACTTAAAATGTTAAGTAGATCAATCTAAATTGTTATACATTTCATTAATATTTTCGTAAAATATAAACTTAGACTGGTGTGAATTTGTTAGACCAAATATAAACTTAACTGAATGTTATTTAGGCCCAATTGACTATTATTCCAAGTTGGATAAAAGGACTGTCCCTTCCCTTCAGCTCCTTAAATCCAATTTATAATATTTTCTATGATGATGTATTTTATTTGATTCGATTAATAAAAATGTCTTTAGTTCCTTCAGAATAATAAATTAATAATGATATTTAATTTGTTATTATCCTTTCCAATAATATTATGTTTCAGAACAATAAAAACTTATAGCATCCGGATTAAGCACATAAATCAACCCAGATTATGCTTAGGAGTGTAACCATTGACACAACATCAAAATAGATGATTAAAAAACACCATAGTATACATGGGTATTGCATGAAGCTTATCGATTCAATAAATTGAATCACAAACATAATAAAAATGTTCTAAAATTGCAGTTGAAAACAAAACGGCTACCGTCTTTAACAAGTCATTTTGGACAAGCCAAATGGCAAAACTTACTTTTTATCTTCTTTCTCCGCCTCAGCAGCCTTCTTCAATCTGGCACCAATGTGTCGCTCGTTCATTCGTTCCACACGCAGTTTGTTATAGGCCTTGAACGACTTCATCTCTTCCGTGACCTTCACAAGCTCAACCGAAGGCTTCTCGCGAGAAACAGGCATATACGGTCCTTTGACTTGGGTTGCAGTTGAAAGCTCTTCAGCAGTAGAATCACCAGCCTAAATGAACAGAAAACAAAAGCAATGTGACAAACACAAACTAGAAAAGTATTTCAAGTTTGAATAACTGCAGACGTAACGAAAATTACCTTAAACCTGCGCGGACATCTTGGGAAGACAACAAGTTTGGCCTTGTAGGTCTTAAGCCTCTGAACATTGGCTTGAAGACCTTCAAGAGATCGGTTCTTACGGCGATGATCGACAGCAATACCGATGGTAGGTGCAAGTTTCTTTGAAATACCAGCAGCCTGACAACAGAACCAGTTGGTGCAAAATTACAACAATATATTCACTTGTTCACAAGGATAGATACAAGATTTTATGTTAGCATGGAACGTTATAAATTTTAGAGGTGTCAAAGTTATAAAAGATTAGGACTAAGATTATAAATAGAAAATACAAAAAATATACGAGAATTTAAAATTTTCAATATATCAAACCACTTGATCCATCCCTGCTTGTTCATAAATCACAGGTAAGATAACCAAAATGTTTCCTCAATCACTTGAAATTACTGCTACCTGTCACTATGGAATTTATCAAAAAGTATAACCTGCAACTTAAATAAGAACAAAAACTACGCCTAAGAGATATCAAGAACCTCAAAACATAACAAAAAAAACGGCCTAAAACAAATTGAGAAGAGAAAATAGCAAACCTTGAGCTCTTCGAGAGTGAAACCCTTGCCAGTTCTCAACTTCATGTTGTACTTCAAAGTCTGGCCATGAACAATCGGACGAAGAGGTCCAGCAGTAGGCCTTGGAAAGATCCGTACTGCCTTCTTTTGCCTTGCTGCAAAAAACAAAAAACCTCAAATCCCGTTAATAACAGACCAATTTCAATCATTCCAAATAAAACATGGGCATTCATCAATAAACAAAAGAAAAAAAATCCCACCGATTCTTCTTCTAGCCTTTCTTGCTGGCTGGTTGAACCAAGTTTTCACATAGTTCTGCCAGTGCTTCTTAAAGTGACCATTTGGGATAACATTGTTATGCTTAACCATGACTTACCTGCAATTTCAGTTTAAAAGTCAAACAAAATGATAAAACGGGAGAAAAGAATAACGAGAAAGAAGCTAAGCACCTTTGGCAGGAGATTAACAGGAGAAACAGAAGAAGATCGTCGCGAACGAAGGATGTTCCCCTAACTATAGGGTTTTTCTGGACAATTGCTTATTTATATGCGGCTTGTTTTTTGATCCGACGGTCAATTCATGAACCTAGAAATCGGACGGGCTAAAATAAATGGTTATGTTTGTAATATATGTACTAGATTATACCATCAGGTTGAGCAACGAAACCGATAATATTGAAAAATAAATATTCAATTTGGTTTAAGTTTTTTAATTTACGATTTGGTTTCGGTCTGGTTTAAGAAAATAAATATCCAATTTGGTTAGGCATGAATTCGATTTTTCGGGGTGAAAATCATTTGAACTGAATTAAATGGAATTACAAAAATAAAAGAAAATAAGTATCCAAAAACATGTTCATTTTGAATTTATTATAAGATAAATTTAAATAAATAAAATATTAAAATTAATAATATTTTTTATAAATATTAAATTTATACATTTACACTCGATTTAACCTTTACTTTTTTTTGAGTTTGAGTTTGAAAAATAGTGAACAGTCAAAAACTGTCAACCCAAATAAAAAAGAAAACCATGATTTTTATACCATTCGGTTTTGGTTCCCATTTTCAAAAACCGACAAAAAGCAATTCAATTCATGTTTTAGTGAAAAACCAAACCAAACCGAATACACCCATTATAATATTGATTTTTTTTACCCAAATATAACTTATTTTATTTTCTATTTTAACACTTATATTAGACTATTTCTCGAGAGTAAACACATTTAATTGGTTGAACGAATTATTTATCTTTATTTATTTTTATTTCTTAAGTTATGAGTTATCAAACATTTATTTTCTTAAGTTATGAGTTATTTTCTTAAGTGAGGTGGCCATTGATATCTCTGAGAATGACGGCACGAAGTCGAATCGGAAGGGGATCAACATCGACGTCTGAGGAGCTTAAAGAATACTCTCTTTCCATTTTTTAAAGTTCATTTTTCCTCTTCCCTACATAATAATAGAATTAAATTAAAAAAATGTACAAAAACTATTTCTCGAAATATTATTTTATTTTGCTACATAAAATAAAATCACATTTTGTAAGAAGCTCTTTTTAGGACGACAGATTAGGCTAAAAACCTAAAGAAAAACAAATATATATATATATATATAGTGCATACACACTAGTTGGATAACAACAACACTCAATAAATGAATAATTAAAAGATTATATTTAGACATTTAAATTTTTTTTATAACTATTATGAAAATTTTCATATCTATTAAAGAAAATTAAGTGTTTGAATATAAATTTTAAATAGGTACTTAATGAATAATTGAATATAAGATTAATAGATGTTTGTTGTTATTACCTAGTTTATGCCGATGTTAATATGCGTCTCTAACAAGCACAATGTATATTTTTTTTAGAAAGCTCATTTAATAGTTTATATATTTTTGGACTCACCTTTTTTTAGCTCAAAATATACATGTATTGTTAGTACTGGATAAAAAGGACTTGCATATAATTTTCATGTAACGTGTTTTTACTTTATGTGACACAAAAATATTATTAATTTCAATAATCAAAATTAAATGTCAACATATTTTTAAATATGTGATATTGAAATTGATCATATATTTGAAAAATTAAAATAAAACTTTGAATGTGTCAATTTTATTAATTATATTAATGTCTTATTAAATAAATAAATTTAGAATTATAATTATAGTCGATATGATAATTTATGTAAAATATGAATGAATTAAGACATGATACAAATATAATATAATGATATGATTAATAAAGAAAATTAAGATCAACAAGAGATCGGTTCCTTGGCAGCGGGTGATATGGTTTCCTATGCATGTTTCCGTTGTAACACCCTTAACTCGCATTTGTATCCGAATACAAGTTAAAGATATCATCCTATTTATGTATGACTTTTACTGTTCAAAAGCTGGTACAATTTTTTTCTTTTAAATTCTTCAAACTTAATATTTACAGATTATCTAACCTCATAAAATCATAATATAATATTTTAATTTCTAATTTACATTCGATCTCGTAGAATATTTTAGCAGTTTAATACTGTTTCATATCGTAATTTAAAACTGCCTAATTTAAAATTTAATCGATTAATCTTTATAATACATTATTTTACTACACTCATACATAGCCACTTAGTATTTTATCATACTTTTACCTTTCTTTATTTCATAAACTATATTATTTCTCATTTGAGCACAATTTCTAAAATTTTCTTTTTTATAACACTATGCATAAAATATATGTAATATCTATAATTAGATTTATTTTAAACAAGTTACTTTGGTTGTTGTCTACCGCCACACGACCACCCACTAATAAAAACTTTTATTATATTATCCTCATTATATAAATATATATATCATTCGTTTAAATTCGAACCAATATAATACGTAGTTTATAAACCATTCAGTGTAATTTACATTATGTTTATAACATTTTACTTTTAAAATGTAATAATTAAACTTGTACCGTTTCTTTTCCTATACTTGCTCTTTTTCTTGCACCAATCATTTCACTATATTATTCTTTTTTCTGTATCGTTCCTTTCACTGTACCGTTCTTTTTTCTATACTAATTTTTTTTATTGTATCATTTCTTTTATTACACTATTTATCTTATTATACTATATCTTTTACTGTTCTGTATCTGATGTTGTATTATTTTATATAATATACCATATATTGTATCATTTCTTTAATTATCACTCCACCTCAAGCACCGACACTTAAAAATGCCTCATAGAATTACACCATAGGTGCCATATAAACATGTATCACGTAGTCACTCAACCTTATGCACCACAATGGTACACAAGTCGCATTGAGTGATCTTTGCAGTATTTAATTATCACTCCACCTCATGTACCACAAAGGTACATGATTCATATGAGTGATCTATACTGGTGCAACTCGTAAGCTTGTACTTGTTCACTTCATCTCTTTCATCATTGACTTTCATGTTTTGTGTACTGGACTTTTATTTAAGTTTTATATCATTTTTATTATAAAACATTTATAGAATAATTATCAATTCATACATTATTTTTACATATATTAGTACTTTAATTAACTTAATAACTCATGTTTGCATAAATATTCTAAAAATATTATTAACGGATATTCGATACTAATTTATTTTATCAAATCGAAACTAACTTTAATTCTATCAAATTATTCTTCTAAATCCATTAAATAATTATTATCATCATTTTTACAATCATTCACTTAACTTTTCAACATTCACATTTAACTACTAATAAACTTTTCTTTCAAGTATAAACTCAATATTTCATATATATACATTAATATTCAATTTAAATCTATATCAACTATTTTCACATTATATCAAGTCTAATACACTAACTTTACCTAATTGCCATTTCACCACCAACTTTCCTAAAATTTACGAATTGAATCTCTATTTTATACAACTTCCCACATTGAGCTAAATTCCAATTTAACTATTCAAGTTCCTCTAATAATTATTTAGACTTTACACATTATCTCATATTCGATTTCTACTTTAATCCCTAATTTCTCCATATTTACAATTAATTTCTTTAGCTTATACATTCTTCCAAATTCGATTCTAAATCCATAATATCATAATTTCAACCATAAGTTAAATTCTTTTTAAATTTTAATCTATACTTTTCTATTTTATTTAACGTCGTCATTTGTACCATTTAATCCTAAATTCAAGCATCCTAAAACAAATTCAAATATTCCAACAACATCTTTAATTTCTATTCCCTAACTTATAACAATTTTCCATTTCAAAACCTACAATTTATATAATTTATAATTTAGCCCTCAATCTTAACAATTTTAGAAATTTAACTTTAATTAATATAACCGAAATTTCCAGCCTTTTAATTAGAAACATAATACCTTAATATTACAAAATTTATCACTTAAGTCCTACCTTTTTTCATAGTTTAGGATTTAGTCCCCAATCTTTATCAAATTTCTAAATTAGTCCAATTTCACATTTTAACATCAAGTTCAATATTCTAAAAATAAATTCCAACGTAATGATTCAACTATTACACATTAATCCCCATATTTCTCAATTTATGCGATTAAGTCCCTATACTTTCACAATTTTCCAAAATAGTCCAAATAACATTCAAAACATATAGGATTATTCTAATATCAATTTTAAACCTTAGATTTTTTCCCCATAATTTTCTCTAAACTCTTCATCAAGGCTGAATACTTTAGAGTTAGGATTCAAAGTTTGTCAAATTGATTCAAGCATGAATTCAAGCTTCTAACATTTAATTTTGTGCAATTCCAACAATTCCCAAAGGTGGCCTAGAACACTATGGAAAAAAAAAACGAGGACAAGAAAAGTCAGAGAGAACTGTTTTATAAAAAATGAAATATTTAACATAAAAAAGCAATATAGTCTGCTCATCACACAAGTTCGCTAGTTTGGAATGCTTGCATCTACTTCATCTGGGAGGAATGGAATAGATGATGTTCTAGTCGATTTGGTGCTAGATCGAATGTTGAGCTTTGTGGATTATTCGAGAGGTTGTAAAGGTGAAATTTTCTAGAATTAATACAGGGAACCTTGATTCTCAAATTTGTATAGAATGGGGACTTGATATTTGATTGTGCTCAGTTTTATGGGGGTTGATTGTACTCTTTGGGGTGAATGAATGTGTACAGGGATGTTGGGGTATAGTTGGGGGCTGTTTAGTGTACAGTGGTTGTTGAGACTGTTTTATTTGTTTACTTTTGGATAATAATATATACATTTTATAAAAAAATAAACAAAACCAAATATACTTTACCCTTATAAAATATATATTTTCTTATAAAATTAAGTCTGAAATATAAGATAAAAGTAAAATTACAAATTGACAAATTAGGAGGGAGGAGTACAAAAATGGCAACCGGGAGGGGGGGGAGGAGGAGGGGGAATTTCGTAATCTACTACAATCACACGTGCCACTCTTAAAATCGCGGAGGAGATAAAAAGCTGAAGCGTCGAATTGGTTTTCTAGTAAATATTAGAGGCGTAATAATACATAAATAAATCATCTTTCCCTCGTAT